CATCAGCAGATGAGTGAATTAAAAACTGTGGTACAGCTACACAATGGAATACTACGCTGCTATGAAAAAAGGAATTCTTACCATTTGCAACAGCATGAATGGAACTGTAGAGCATTATGCCAAGTGAAATAAGCCAGTCAGAGAAAGATAGATATCACATGATCTCACTCATTTGTGGAATATAGTGAACAACATAAACTGATGAACAAAAACAGATCCAGAGACAGAGAAGCGTCGATCAGACTGTCAAACCTCAAGGGAAGGCAGGGGAGGGTGGGGTATGGGGGAGAGATCAACTTAAGGACTTGTATGCATGCATATAAGCATAACCAATGAACACAGACAACAATGGGGTGAGGGCATTAGTTGGAGGGGGGTAGTGGGGGGGGGGCAAAGGGGGGATAAAGACACATTTGTAATATCTTAATCAATAAAGAAAAAAAACAAAGAAAAAACATTTCTACAATTCCACCTAGTATTAGGATTTTGCTATGTAATTTACAATATCCTTCAACACATAAGAGCTTTCTTTACACTGAAATAAAGAATGGACTTTCATTTTTGTGCTGGAAAAAAATAAATAAAGTGGCATTAGATGCCTATGGTTTCACTGCTGTCTGGAGACAAAGGCTGCCTACCTGCTGAATTTCAAGGACTTCCAGCCACACTCCAGGGCCTATTTTGATCACACTGACTTCCCCCTGGACTGGGGGTGGGCGGGGAAAGAAAGGGAAGCAGCTCCAGTCACTGACAGCCAAGGCAAGGCGCTCAGGCTTGCCTGTCAAGGCCTTCCTTCTGGGCATCAGAAAGGCAGTCTGTCTTTAATTTGCCAAAATTGCTCGAAAGCCGTCAATGGAGGCTGAGAGGAATGATTTATTTTTGGTTTGATTTTCTTTTTTCTTTTTTTTTCTTTTTTAATGTATTGGTTAAATGCTAATTTATTGTAGATATGGTGAATGCTGTGGTGGTGATAAGGGAAAACGAGAACCAAGGAGTGAATACAAAACTATTAGCTCATTTGCGTGGAGATAAATGAGCTCCTATGGCCTGTTTCAGGTGACAAGTAAATAGCGAAGCCACGACCAAATCCTACATCCCTTTCAGCTTGTTCTGAGACCTGCATTCTGACTCCATTGCTCTCCACAATTTAGTCGTGTTAGGGAATGAGAAGCCTGCACCCTACCATTTCCCAGGCAGAATGTAAGGTACCTTTGGAGGCCCTACTGGGAGTCATTTTTCATGCAATCGCACATGGACAATCCTACATCAGCATTTCTCTGCATACCCCACTCTCCTGACCTCAGAATCCCTTATTTCCTAGTTGACATCAAGGTTCACAATTTTCTCTATCATTTCATTTCTAAAAATATGCACTTTATCAAGCTGTCTTCAACATTGATGGTGATAATGCTCTTGCTTCGAGAGAGGGCTATGAATGTCAAGTGGCCCTCAAATGCCAAAGGAGCAGAGAGATCAAAGATGAGGCAGACAGTCTTGGTTGGTTAATGAGTTTGAAAGAAAACTTAGTGCAGAAATGCAGTCCTGGACAGAAGGACACTGGGGTCTCTGCATCCACCCCCAGATACAGGATTTTACGGCTAAAGCCAGGGTCTGGGTGTCTGGAGAGGAAGATGGACAATAGTTTGATTTTCAGTCAAGATAACTACCCTGCCCCCGTTTTTTGTTTGTTTGTTTTTTCTTCTGACAAGCATTTATAAAGCAGTCAGGTGCAAAGCTTACGGTAGTTGAATTAGGTTGGGACTAGTGAATAAAGCTTTCAATAGTGGTGAAAGGTTGACTGCTATCAAAACAGACTAAAAGGAATGTGAGCCCAAGTTCAAATCTAGAGAAAAACACAACTAAGGCATATGCCCCAATGGCTAGCTGACTGGTGACAGTAAGTCATCTCTCAATATTCTTTCTCTTTTATCTATAGAACTAGTTGCTGGGTGCACAAAATTCATGCACTCGGTTGGGGGGGGGGGAAGATGGTGTTGTGGGAGGGGAGGAGTCCCCCAGCTTGGCCTGTGACCTGTTAACAGTGTGGAAGCCCGACAATCCATCACCCAAAAGAAGGAGGCCCTGCCCACTCATCCGGGGGTCCTCAATGGATTGTCCCAAAGAGGTAGGCTGGAGCCAGGGGAGGCCTGCAAACCCCCAGGCCTGGCTGTGGCAGAGGCTGTGGACCTCCACGTGCCTGTGGACCCCGGGGCTGGTGTAAGGGGGCAGGGATGTGAGCCTCAAGTCCTTGGGCTGGCGCATGGGGTAGAGATGTGAGCCTCATGTCTCCAGGCCAGTGCAGGGGGCGAGAATGCAGCCTGCTAATCAGTCGTTATATGATGGCATCCCAACTAATTTGCATATTATCCTATTATTAGATAGATAATGGGACTTTTGAATTTTAATTGGGCCCAGGGTCTCTAAGGAAAAAAAAATATTTCCACCTCTTTTGTGGCTTAGTTATGGCAATGTGACTGAATTCCGGACAGCAATATATAAGAGGAAGTATTATGAATAATTTCTTGGAATATCCTTAAAGGAAGGATGTATCTTTTCCCTTTTTTATCTTCCCACTGGTTGGAATTCAAATGGTGATGGCCAGAGCCAAAACAACCATCTTGGGCTGTAAAATTCTAGGAATGAGTATCATGCATAATAGGGCAAAAAGAAAGGAGGAATCTGTGCCCCCAGTATTATGGGGAACCATACCAGGGAATGCCTGATTCTGGACATTTATAAGCTTCTGTCTTGCTTACTTTATCTGTGGTGGTGGGTTAAGAGCAAGGGAGGCAGGTTTAAAAAATATATATATATATTGTTGTTGTTGATTTCAGAGAGGAAAGGAGAGGGAGAGGGAGATAGAAACATCAGTGACCAGAGAGAATCATTGATCTGCTGCCTTCTGCAGGCACCCCCATTGGGATTGAGCACGTAACCCAGGCATGTGGACTGACCAGGAATGAAACGAAGACCTCCTGGTTCATAGGTCGACATTCAACCCCTGAGCCACATGAGCTGGGCTGGGGGGGTGATTTTGATCACTCACAGGCAAACCCTATTCCAAGCTAATACAGGAGATATCAGGTGGATGCACAGAAGCAGGGCCTGGACATTCCTCAAACTATCCCTCTGAAGTAGAGGGTTCAATTGTCATCACTATTTCGCTTGTGGAAAACTCCTTCAGAAAGGTTAGTCAAGTTCTTCATTCCAGCGCCCTCCTACTTGAGCTCCTGACCCTTCTTTTCCACCTAAGTCTCCAGCAGGTGCAGTGCTCCCCTTTGATCAGTCTCTCTCCTCATAGTCCTTAACTATTTTCTGCCTTTTACTTTCATGTTTCTGTTTGCTGTCTCAGGTAAACTGTGAGAAGTTGGGGATATAAAATGTCTCTTTTGCAACCCCCTCTCTTACTTACAGCGCAAAACAAAGCACTATTTAAATTTCAGATACTTCATAAATTCCATATTCCAGTTAATTCGGAATGTACCTTTGAACCCCACTCACTGTACTGTTTCCTGTGTTTTTCACTCTCATCTTCAGACTTTGTATTCTTTAGAGAAATGACCTCCATGAGGGACTGAATTATAACACTCAATAAAACAGTGATTCTTGACTTGAGAAGAAGGAATAGGGAACTTCAGGGAGTCCATTCACTCTTCAAAGTTTTGTATAAGGGAATATGAGATTTTGTCTGTAAAAAGTTTCATAGTTTACATCAGAATTTCCCCCAATCATGACCTCCCCACCTCCCCTTGCACCACTGACCTACAGCAAAAAATAAATAAAATATTTGGCTAAAATATGTTGTTGGGTGGGATAAGAGAAGGAACAAGACATAGTTGGACAATTCCATTTGCAAAGAAGATAAATCCACATATGAACTTCATGTTTCTAATGTTTGAAGTGTATTTTTTTTTAAGATTTAACTTTCCATGGTTTTAAGAAGTAACCTTAATCCTTAATCCCAATTGCAAAGCAACCAACAGAAAAGATCAAATATACACCAGGAATAAATTGAAGCAATGCTTTATTGAAACCACAAAACACAAATATCAACAAGTCATCAACACACAAAGATTGAACAAATGTCTCTTTGAACAGAGATGTAGCAACCCCAACTTTTCAAGTCTTAAAAACAAGTACTCAAACCAGGAATCAAACAAAGCATTAGAACAATTTAAAAAATATTACACCATAATGAAGGAATGTATATAAAAATATTCTGTACTAGTAACAGGCTTTTTGATCTGTAACTCTTGGCAAATTTCTTCAGAAACAAATTATTAGAAATACAACCATAAAGTGAAATAATGCTTTCTTTAGAAACAACCAATTTAAAAGCAATTCTATGCAGAAAATACCATTACCCTCTGTGAAAGCCAGCTGAATATGGATGGATATCCTCAATAAACAAAGTTTTTCTTTTCAACGGTATGGTTTTGCTTCTAAAGGGGCCAAGATGCATGTTCATTTCAAAAATCGCAGCATATCCCAGTGAAACCTTAATAAGGTCAAGTGGAGGACCCTCTGTAAAAAAGGGTGTCAGCAATTCCATCCCAGCAACACAAGCTCTAAGGAGCAGAGGAACTCAAGGAAGACAGCGATCCCTTTCTCTTTTTCCCCCTCCCCAAGTCTGTAGCCAAAATATGCTCATCCATTAAACTTTTTAAAGAATTTTGGAAAGCCATCTATGAAGAAACGAAGAATGTCCTTATGACCTCAAAGCTTTTTTGGGGAAGGGTATCTACTCATGTCAAACATGGATTTCTTTGTACTCTCTTGACAAAATCCACAAAGAAAACCATCCCATCCACCTGTTCTTCTTGCTCCTCCTAGCTGAATTCATGTCAGCTGATGGATTGCCTAGTCTATCCAATAGGATAACGTTTCATTTGGTTGAAATTTTTTACATATACACATGTATGTATCTGTTTACAAAGTTTCATCACATGAAACTAAATTATGTCATTATGTATTTTTGAGGTCTGAGACCCCAATTTGTACTATGAAGAGTTGTTCTTTAAATGCTTTGACTGAAGAGGTTTTACATGATACTCATAGATTTTCAGAGCAGGCCCCAACTTTAACTGAAGTCCTGTCAGCACATCATTTCTTGTCATCAATAGCAGGGATTTTCCATCAATTTCCTATAATGGAAGCAGAGGGGAAAACCAACATGTAAGTCCAAAAGCTCAAGAATAATGAAACAAAAAGGAAGTTCAAAGGAAAAAATCATATTGATTGTTTTCAAGATAAAATCATTACTTGTTTACTTATGTCAAAATGGGGGGAAATTGAATCTTCTATTTTTATCTTTCATCTTCTATTTTTGGATTAAATACAATTGGTAACTGTTCTTGTTTTCAGAATCACATCACAAACACCTTTAAAAACTGACAGTAAGCTTGGTGTACATACACTTAAGGATCAAAAAAGGAATAATGACACTATCCAATTATAAAATATACTAGAGGCCCAGTGCATGAAATTTGTGAATGGGGGGAAGGTGGGGTCCCTCAGCTTGGCCTGTGCTCTCTTGCAATCTGGGACCCACCCCTTGGGGGATGTCTGAATGCTGCTGGTTTAGGCCAGCAGGGATTGGGCCCAAACTGGCAGTCGGATAGCCTCTTGTAATCCAGGACCACTTACTCCTAACCACTCACCTTCCTGCCTGCCTGCCCCTAAATGCTTGCCTGTCTGCTCACCCCTAACTGCTCAGCCTGTCTGCCTGCCTGCTTACCTCTAACCACTCACCTGCTCAGTGTGCATGATAGTGACCAGTTGTTCTCGTCATTCTGCCATAATGGTTGCTTAGGCTTTTTTCTTTTTTTCTTTTTTAAAATATATTTTATTAATTTTTTTTTTTTTTTTTTTTTTTTTTTTTTTTACAGAGAGGAATGGAGAGAGATGGAGAGTTAGAAACATCAATGAAAGAGAAACATCAATCAGCTGCCTCAGGCACACCCCAACTGGTACATGCCCTTGACCGGAATTGAACCCGGGACCCTTCAGTCCTCAGGCCGACGTTCTATCCACTGAGCCAAACCGGTTAGGGCCGCTTAGGCTTTTCTAATATATAGGTTTAGAACAAGCAGGGGTTATCATCTTGACTTTACAGGCAAACCAAGAATCAAGATTAAGAAGTTAGGAAAGGATGGCATAGGAATTGAACTCTCATCTGTCTTTAGCCAATGTTCTTTTCATAACTCTATCTGTTTCTCTTGACACTTAGAAGTAAATATGTGTTGTTTAGATGGACCACTGAGGACTTAGGTTTTCTGGAATCTTGTCAATCACAGTAGTGGATGTTGGAAAAATGACTCACTCTGAACTTCTTTCTTGTCTTTTAAAAGGAGAACTATCCTGTCTCAACCTAAAAATCAAGCTCTCATGCTGAGGGCCCCACCATACTTCCTCTTAAAGGATCCTTGAGATTCCAAATAAGGTAGTGAGGGGCAGAGCTCTGCCCATCGCAAATTCTCTCCTCCGTTCTCACAGTTCATTCCCCATACTCTTCAGATACCTAACAAGGTATCCTGCACCCCAGCTACCCTGGAGGCTACAGAGTTTTGGAGTAAATAAAAACGGGCTTCTCATGCAAGATATGAGGACACAGAATATTGAAAGTGGTGTGAAATTTTTGGAAAGGAAACACTGAGAATGCTGACTGCACCTTATTTTTGTTATCACTTAATTGTGGGAAGAAGCTGAACTAGCTTTTAGGGAACCTGAAAGAGATGAAGCAGCTGGGCATGCTTGGTAAGCCTCAACACATCTGTTTCATCATTCTACCCATGTACATCTGTACCCCCTCGCCCCCACACTGATGGACAGACAAGGGGACACAACGTGCACCAGGAAGAGATGACACTGTTTCATTACTATACCTGTGACCCCCTCCTACATCATGACCAAGGGGGCCATTCCTTCAAACTCTGTCAGGTACTTTGCTATGCTGGGAAGAAAATTTGCTTTGAATGACTATGTGTGGGAGAAGTAACACTGGGTTAGGGGGCTGGAGAATCAACTAGTCTGCAACCTCTCTCAGGTGTGGGATTTAGACAGGATTCCATGAGATACCACCTTTGCAAATGCTCCCTGAGCTATAAGTATACAATTACTTATCATTATTCTTCCACAGAACTATGTTCCTCATTCCAAATACCTAACATGAACCACAGCCAAAGGAATTACTTCTAGCTAGCCTGTGGTGTTTTCTGAGTGTTAGAAACCATTATTTTGTCATTTACTAGAAAACAAAATGTCCCCCATTAATATGTAGGAGATAACTATTCAAAATCATAGCACGTAACAATTTGTTGACAGGGCAATTGGAAAATTAAGGACATGAGAAGGAAATTTCCAATTCTAAAGTATTTTACTTCTTTTTCAGCAGCTAGTAATCCCAAAGATGGCCCATCAGTCAAATCTGCAAGTATGGGAGTTGGCCGAGGAGCTTCCGACACCTGGAAGTCACGGTGGCTGTTCTGAAGGCACTGTGAGGTCACAGGAATCTGAGTCACAGGTCACTTCAAAGCTCATGCTCTCGCTTACGCACTGAGATGACACAGACCTACTTGGAATGCTTTAGAAAGCCGCCAAGCCCTTCCTGCTCTCCATCTTTCCTTTGCTGGTGTCTGCTCCTACTTCACTTATTACGTATTTCAAACAGGCACCAGGAAGAGATGACACTGCTTTCATTGCTATACAACAAGAACACTTCCTTGATTAACTGAAAGTGAATTTTTAAAAATCGTTGCTGACAAAAAGTACAACTCAGCAATTCTGTCAAAAGCCAAGTATGTCTGTGAAAAAATGCTGAAATTGGGATTTTATTTGAGACAAAATGGAAAATCATATTCCACGCTCCAATTTGATTTTACTTTTGTTCAGTAGCCACACTGCAATTCGCCTCGGACTAGGGTTCAAAGAAAGCTCTACTTGGAAATTCTCATTTTAAAACTTTTGAAATGAAGAGAGTTTAACAACAAAACTTTCCTATTAAATCAAACTATAACAGCTCAGATGAATGGGAGTAGAATACAGCATAATGGAAATGTGAGCTTCTAGATCACACCACAGTATGAACCTTGTCTCCAAAACTTACCATGTGAACCTGGGTAAGGGACCTAACTTTCCTAAGCCTCAGTTTCCTCAGTTGTGAAATGGAAGTAAACCCCTGAAGGATTTTGGAGATAAAAAGTGATGCATTTATGTAAGGCCGGACTTATAGGCGACTCTCAATGCCTACTAAGTGGGAATATGCAGGCTTTGAAAGAAACGAGATATATTTCTATTCCAAATCCATCTTCTGCTTCCTTTCTGGAAGAGTGCTCTCTACCTGAATGCTGCCCTGTTCAAATTTTTAAAAAATTATTAAAATTTAAAAAATTCAAAGACTCATGAAACATTTGTCTCATAAAAATCGCAAACACAGGAATACTCCTTGAATTAAGAAAGGCACTCATTTGTTTTGTAATGTATAAAAGTTTGCTGGTCTGCATGGTGCACTAGAATGAGCCTGAGAGTGGAGACTGGAATATGGGAATTGCAATGCAGACTCCAGCAGTAACTCTCCACAAGGAACCAGTCCCCGGAACCCCATTTATTTCTTATAAATGAAGAGATTGAAGTGTGACCAAATCCCATGATTGCAGGTGTATCATGATTAAAGCCCAAATAAAAAGGTAATCACATCTTGGGATCCTGTTCAGATATCTGTGTTAAAGGGATAATCATTTGCTAGTTTATCATTACTTCTGTCTTCTGTCCTCAGGGAAGAATAACCAAGTGCCTATTGGGCAATAATATTAAAAATGTTTGCAGACTTAATAATTTCCAGAAGGTACTCATGCATGGAAGTAAAGCTCAGAGATGACAAGCATAAATTTCCAATGAGTGCAAGATCCTAGATCTAAAAATAAATGAGTAGGATCCACAGATATTATAACTCAGTAGACAAGCATGTTTTAGAGCAAGACACTATTTTATTGCATACTAGGTTGGGCCAAGGACAATTACTTAATTTCTCAAAACCTCACTTATCTATATCATGGGGGGAAAGTAGCTACTGTATTCCACTATTGAAGTATTATTGAGGTAACACATGAGAAGTAGAATTCCTGACATCTGCTGAGCACTCAATAAATGCTAACTACTAAAAAAGTCTGTGAAAAATCTTTACCCATTTACTTTTTACTCTTTCTCTCTGCAAGCAATCCAACCTAAGTAACTCTTTCAAATGAGCCTAATTTTGATATGGTAAGAAAGAAGATGAGGTGGGGAAGAGAAGAAGCTAAGAGAAAGGCTAGAAAGAGAAAAAGAGGGATCATCAAGAAAGTGGCACAATAGCGAGGTAGAGCAGGAAAAGATTTGAAGACAAGTCAATGGGGTTTATGAAGGTGGGACCCTGACTCAGAAGGTCATATTCATGGTGGTGGTCTCTACTGTCCCAAATACAGTGCAGGGAAAAGAAGAGTCAACTTAGAATCAAAAGACTTGGTCCTAAACTAAAGCTCAAACCCTTTTGCTTCATAGTTCTTTTTGTATCATATGGCCCATTATTGTCCTCCTCTGTAAAATGAGATTTGGGGACTAAGCTGACCTCTGTCCATTCCAGTTCAACACACTCTCAGATTCCAACTCTGGTCTCTGGTAAGCATCAGACTCACCAGCACCACAGGAAAGACCACCTGTAAAAAATAATGCAGCAACTCCTTACCGATGGCGCAGAGGAAGCTGATGAAAGGGATTTTCTTCTTTCCCTTCAGTCTTCTCTCTCACATTTTCTCGAACTTTTTTTGTAACAACTCTCTTGCCATTCACTATCTGGCTACAAGTGGTGACCAGTCTAAAGTTTCCCATTCCACTGCTTACAAAGGGGACAAATTTCTCAGAGGACGGGGAACCTGGTCTGGAGCCCAAGGATACAAAAGTGGAAAATCCTGTGTCCAAAATGGGGGTCACATCAAAAAAGGAAGAGTGGAATCTCCTGGCTCTACCCACATGGCCAGTGCGGAAACTATCTCCCGAAAAGAGGTCTTCACCTTCAAAGACATTGTGAAAGCCACCACATGGCCTCTCAAACCCCAGTTCCTCCTTGGAATCGTTTTTGTCTCTGCAGTCTCCTCTATTTTCCCTTCTGACG